GGATAACCATAGTGAATTTGCCATCGCACGGTCTAAGTTTTAAGCATTTTAAAATCGTACATATGCACTGTGTAAACGTTTATTAACCTTAGACTAACTATATTATTTGCAAGTACAATTAGTGAAGAGCTTTACTTGTTTTAATTCTATTGGTACAAAATTATAACATGTCTTAAATAAATGATGATATGGTTAAACTATCTAATTAATCTCAAAACATAAATTTGATTCCAACAAAATAAACTATAATTAATATTTTAAAATATAAAATTAACATACAAAGTTATTTCATATATAGCAACGATTTTCTAATAAATTTAATTTAGCACTTACCTTAAATATATGACACATACAATTTAGCACTTACGGTTAACTAGTTGTTATTACGATTTTGTAATAAATTAAATATATCTTTTTTAAAAAAAATGACATAGCTTGAACTACTTAAATCATTGATTTATTATTATATTTGAAAATGCATATACAAAATGAGATCTAAATACATGTCATCATATTTATTAAAATCAATTGGTTAACCGGCACGGTTTTTTGGCATTCTATACTAAAATTTCAAAATTATAATTTGTAACTATTGGGGAACATTTATCGATTAATCAATTTTAAAACCGGGCCAGTTAACTTGCGTTTGTATCAAATTTGGTTATCAACCACTTGATTAGCTAACTTGGTTTCGTGTCACTAGAGTTGGTTCTGTTACCGGTTTAGAATATACACACCATCTATGCATATATTATACAACAGATTTTGATACAATGAATGAATGAAATGATGAACCTATGTTTATACATCTAATAATTAATAGTTCAAACTCCCAATTTGCTAACGAATCATAGTACTAAAATTTGCTAGCATTAAATACGAATTTTTCAAAATATTTGAAACAATAAATCTAAATAGTAATTGATTTGACCAAAAAAAAAATAGTAATTGATTATTTCAAAAAAGATGTCAAGACCATCTTTTTAGTTTCAAATATTTTTTATGATTTAGAAGCAAACATTAAAAATATTTCCTACATTTAGACAAATTAAAATTTGGTGTAGAAGAATATGTCAAATTATCATATTCACAACATTTTCTGGAATAGAAAATAATATTGTCTTATCAAAACACATTTTTAACATTAATCAATTATATTATTTAAAAAGTGAGAAGAAATCATAATAAAAGTTGG